ACTAGGATTTTTTGGTTGAAGCAGAGACTAAAGACAAAAAGTTAGAAATTTGAACTAAAGTTTACAGTACTTGTCTTACTGCCTGAGGATAAATCCTTATCAAAATTGCACTTCCACAAACTGCTTTAACTTGCACAAACTAATATTTTCTCTGGAAGAAGCACTTCCTCCTTATCTCTATCTTGGATCCCTTTCACCCCTCCTCTCCAATGTCCATCACCTTGCACCTAGGCAGACGCCTGAACTCCTACATGCCAAATTGGACCAAAGGAATGATTTGGACTAAGTCTAGTGCATTAAAAAAGAAAGAAAATAATCCCACTAGTTTAAAATTGCATAAATTCTTCAGTTTGGCATATCACATGGCCAGCAGAAGGGAGGGTTAAACAAGGTTTAAACTGGATTAAGGGACTCTGCAAGATGGTTTGAGTACTGATAGCTCTTTGGTAGATTTACATCTGTCTTGAAATACTAACAAGTTTTACTGTACTGACTTACAAATTGTATCATACACCTGAGACACATGCACGTGCCAGAACAGCCTGGAGCAAAACCCCCTGATTCCCACAGAAGAGTGTAAACTCTGGCATAGACATGATTAATAATGCCCATGGCTGAGGGATCAACTTAAGGAGTAAAAATTGGTTTATTTCATAGGGAGCTTGTCTAATCTTCATTTATGTTTCATTTTAGAATTCATTTGTTTTATTTAGTGCCCTGGGGATGCTACTTTGAATACCTTTCCAAATGGAACAAATATGCTGATGATGAAAATGTTATGACAATAACTTATGAAGAGCTAAAAGAGGTGAGGTTACCAATAATTACAAATATTTTATACTTAAAAGAGCATTTGTTCCTAAACCAATTAACCATTATATTCATGTAGTGTATTCAAACTGCATGATACTGTATGAGGTACATTCTTGTTCTAAGGGAAGGAAAGGTGAAATTCAAACTTAAAAGCCTTTTTAAAGTTTTGTTTGTGAAAATGATTCTTGTTTTCTCTTTAGCTGTGCTATAAGCCCAAATCACTGTAAATCAAAATCCCCTGCAAGTTTTTTGGGGGAGCTTTTATATATTCAACAGTGTAGATTTTGCTCAACTGTAAGTCATGTGCAATCTTTTGTGATCTTTAGGAAGACAGCTCATATCTCCTCTGAATTAATTATGGAGAAGACAAACACTATGTACCACTCTAGTCCTAGTGAACTCCATGAATATTCTATATATGTATCCAGCAGAGAGATGTAAGGAAGTGCAAACACCTTGGAAAGCAGTGTAATTTGTTCGAATGCCATGCGGTATGTTACATTCCTCTTTTCAGAATCCAGTCCTGGGTGTGAAAAACATAGCTGCTTTCTTTGGATTTTCCCTGACTGAGAAAGAGCTTCAGAGTGTGGTAGAGAGGAGCAGCTTCCAGTCAATGAAGAAGAACTCACAGAAGACCCATGGGGCATTTGGCAATATTCTCTTTCGCAAAGGTAGGAAGCTCCAAGAGGTCCAGAGGTAGAAATGTCACACTCAAGAACTTGGGCCATGCATCCTTTGCTTCTTTTTTGCACACATATTAGCATTACAGATTAGTATCAAGCAGATTATCACTCTTCTGCTTGAGAAGACTAGTCAAGGAGCACTGGTGAGGAAGAGACCCAACAAGGCTCTGGCAGCAGGCTGCAGCCAGCACAGGAGAAGCAGCCGCACAGAGCAAATCTGAGAGGCCCACAGACGACTGGCAGGAAGGAGGAACTGTCATATGTCTGAACTCTCCATCTCTGTGCCAAGATCACTGATTCTTCAGCCATTAGAGGCTTACCTGAGCAGGCAAAACTGGGCCTACTCAGCCTGAGTGGCATCATCACACTTTGTAGGAGAGTGTGGGGTCTCCTGAAAGGGCCACTGTCAACCAGCTGTTCACACTCACAGGTTAGAAGTAAGCCTGGCATGCAACAATCAGGTACATAGAGAAGGGGAAACAAAAAGGAACTACTTTTGCAGTGTAGTGTAGGGGATACAGACATGAGAGGGCCAACCTGGCTGTCAGAATCTATTTCTGCATTTTACATTAAAGAAGTCTCTGGATAAAAACTCAAGTTGCCGAGGGAGCAGAAACCCAGCTTTGCCTCCTGCCAGATGACTCTTAATCAAGCCTTCATGATCTTCTACCTTGTCAGTCATAACTGACTGGAGTAGAGAACTGCAGGGAAACAGGACTTTAGGCTGCTTTTTTGGACACAGTCACCTGAAGAGGAGTACGTTCTTTTGCGTTATAGCAGTTTCACAGATCTGTAGCACCACTGACTTCACAAAATTATACTGGTGCAAAAATGAGTGAAGTTTTATCTTGAAAAATGAATCAACTCCATTTAGTGTACAATGGAACAAGAATGACAGATCTATACAATAAAAAATAATAAAATTTCTCGTTTTTTCAAGAGTTTCTTTGTTTCTTTGAAGGTGGTATAAGTGACTGGAAGAATCTTTTCAGTGAAGATCAGAATGAGAAAATGGACAAAGCATTTGAAGAACATATAGGAAGAACTAAACTGGGAACAAAGTTAAAGTATGAAGTGTACTGTAAAGCCTGAAGAGTAATGAATTGCGGTTAGAGCAAGAGCTTTCCAATGCACTCTCACATCATCTGAATGCTATATACTGGAAAACTAGGCCAAATGATCCAAGCACCTTACTGTAATGATGAATAGTGGGTGTTTGTTTTAAAGGTGAGATCTTTGGCTTGCTTTGGCTACACTCATTTGCTGAATAAGATGGCAACTAACCATATTCAGATAAACTTAACAGCCCTGTTTCAATAGCTGTCACCTGGAAGAAAATGCCCCTTTTCTCTTTCTAGCCAAATTCAGTCCTTCTAGACTACTTATAATTATTTAGTATGTAGAAATATTTTTTTGCAAAAATGTTTCAAATCAGGCAACATCTTCACAGAAAAGATCACTAGCAAAAATATGGATCTGACACAACCTTAATTAATGACAAAGGATATCTTTCCCATGACTTCAGCACAAGCTGAATCAAAGCTAGAGGGAGGAGAATGCAGAGGAATGGGGATCAGCATTCTTAGGGATTTTAATCTCTCTGAATGCAGAATTTCAAGATGGATTTCAGATTACGGGCTGGTGTTAACAGGCAAGATCCACTCAGAGGCATTGCTTTTATAGAATCATAGAAAAGCCCAGGGTGGAAGGGACCTTGAAAGATCATCTGGTCCAACATTTCATGGGAAAGGGGGCCTAGATGAGATTATTGCACCTTGCAAACCTCCAGTGATGAGGACTCTACCACATCCCTGGGGCGGTTGTTCCAGTGAATGATTGTTCTCACTGTAAAGAATTTATTTCTTACATTGAGATGAAACCTCTGCCAGTGCAACTTGTACCCATTGCTTCTCCATGTGACTCCTTGTGAATAGAGAGCCTCCGTCCTCCTTGTATCTGCCCTTTAAGTACTAGAATACTGTGATGAGGTCCTCCCTGAGCTTTCTCATCTTTGTGGCCCTCCTTTGGATCCCCTCCAGTCTGTCTGTGTCTTTCTTGAATTGTGGTGACCAGAACTGGACACAGTACTACAGGTGCGGCCTGAGAAGTGCTGAATTATGTATAACCATGAATACTTCTCTCTTTGTATCACAAAAATCCCAAGTAATTTTCTTTTTATAGCATATAAATTTGCACTTGCTCCACTGAAGACCATGTTTCTACCTGTATAAAGGTTAGTAAAAAGCAAAATAAAGAAGTTAATGTCTTTTTGTTGTGTTTGAAGAGAGTCCTTAATCTATACACCTACGTGCCACTTCTAAGAATTGCTTTTATGCTTGCCATGTTCCAGCCATAAAATAGGAAAAGAAAATGTAGTGAATACAGAAGATTACGTCTCCCCAGTAACAAGCAATAGGACAAGAGGAAATGGGCTCAAGTTGTGCCAGGGGAGATTTTTAGATTAGATATTCGGAAAAATTTCTTCACAGACAGAGTGGTTAGGCATTGGAACAGACTGCCCAGGAAAGAGGTACAATCACAGTCCCTGGAAGTATTAAATAAATGTGAGGATGTGGTGCTTAGGAACATGGTTTAGAGGTGGACCAGGCAGTTAGGTTAACAGGTTGGACTTGATGATCTCAGAGGTCCTTTCCAACCTTAACGATTCTATGATTCTGTGATTCCCACCATTAATGCCAGCAGAGTGCTCTTACCACAAAACTACAGTTAGCATTCCCTCTGTTTGTTCTTGATTTACATATATGCCTACAGTTGAGCTTTAGCTTAAATTAATACTTAAACACTGAAATAGATTAATTTCCATTACTGGAGATTCTCTGAAACTGAAGATGCCAAAATTCGCTGAAACTGGTTCTATTAAGAAAATGGGATTGTCAAGGGTTATGGTGTGAGACATTACTTTACTCAGCTATTTTGCACCGGCATTGGTATTTGGCACTGTAGATACAGTATTTCAGACCTGTCCAGGGACCAACTGCACTTCAGCCACCTGTTCTGGAAAAATAGCAAAATAAGGTTCTTTAAGTATAGCTGAATTAAAAACAGGAAAAAAACACACCCAATGTATAGATCCATCACCTAAGAAAATAAGAAGCAAAAATAAAAGATACACTAGGAAAGAATAAAGTATTCAATGACTTTTTACTTCATTCTTCTAACGCTGGTTAATTCTGCCTGGACATGTAGAAATGCAGAGTTTTGCAAAGAAATAGGAATGCTAGAAATAATACTTAAAATATTTAGAAAAAAATAATGGATTCAAAAGCAGAGCATCTGAAAATCCTGACACAAGCCATCTTTGAACAACTAGAAATTATGTAAGATCCTAGAAAGGTACCAGATGCCGGGAGGAGGACATACATAATAGCTGTGTTTAAAAATGTGAGAAAGAAGAATCAAAATAGAGCAGTCACCTTAATTTGCTATCTGGAAATTTACTGGCAAAAATGACCAAGCAACCAGTGATGAAACACTTTGAGGATAATGAGGCGGTAAGTATAAACCATGCCACAGCTGTTCATGTTCCTTCTTTAAAAGATAGCTTACTTCTTGAATAAGCCATAGACAGAAGATACAATAGATGACAGCATCAGAGAGGTTCTGAAATTATATGACAAGAGACACAATCTAGATCAACAAATTTATGGCTGCATATGTGGAGATGACAACTTATAAATGTAGTTATAGAAATGAAATTAAAGTACTAAAAATAAATTTGTGGTCCTAGAAATTCATACAACAGTGACAAAAGGCATCCAGAAGCAGGGTCAGCAGCAGCAATACTTTTAGGAATATCCACTTGTTTACATGGCTGTTATGAACTTGGTTGCAATAGTGTGCTCATGATCAAATTGCATATACTGGATGACAGCAAAATTTAGAGGACAATTAAAGCAATACCCTTTAGTGGTGAGTCCTGGTCATATTCAACATTGTTCTTAACACTGGTGGACAGACTAATACCTGTGTCATATACAATTATCTTAAGTCTGGGGATCAGAACAGAGGGCTGAAAGAACTAGGGAAAATGGGGAAACCATTCAAAACATCACAACAAATTGAGAAGGCTGGCAAACATGAAGTTCAGTAAAGGTAAGTGTAAAATGCTACATTTAGAAAAGAGAAACCAAAGGCACAAGTACTTAACGGGGGCAAACCAGTCAAGCAGCAGTTGGCATGAAAAGACCTGAGGAACCACAGTCAGCAAGGGATAACATGATGAACATGGAAAAAAAAAAAGGTCAAATCTTATTCTGGTCTACAGTAACAGGAGGATTATACCTAAGACACGGGCAATAATTATTACAGCCTGTGGTTGCAGGTCAGTCTAAACTGGAGAACGCTGCTTAGGGAGGCTGCAGAGAAATTTGAAGAAGCATCTGGCAGGGAGAAGATAACCATGCTTGATATTTTAGCAGTACGGGGGGGACACTAGAAAGTCACATTAAGTCCCTTCTAGATCTATACTTGTAGACATCTTGGAATACTGCAGACCAGCTTTCCATGTTCTTACTGATCCCCTGTCTGTGTTAATTCTTCTTGCATTAATTAAATTGTCACTATACACTCCAGTTTATGAAACAGGCAAGACTCTACCAAGTCTGACTTCCTTCTGTGATATTTTTTCCCCAATTAGATCCACGCCAGATTTTAGAGTTACATTCTGCATTCTCACTGGCTGAATCCTATTGCAATTTCATGTCAGCTTTTGAGTTTTCAGGCACCAATGCTGCACAAGAGCCTCTGCTTGCAGTGAGGCTTTCCAGGCACACTGGGCTTTGAGAAGTAAATGTCAGTAGCACATTTACTTTAGTTAAGAAGGGGAAAATGATGATCTTCAAAAACTTACCTTTGCAGCATTTTTGGATGATAGATTATGTAGGTGGTTGTTATTGAGTCTGGGAACAATCTCTGCAAAGACTGGGTGCTACACTGCTCACAAGGGAAACACAAGCTCTATCAGTAGTTCCTCAGATAATAATACTACATCACCACTACTCTATTGAACTAATTAGATTAAAACTAGTTGGAGAACACCTAAACTAAAATAAACAGTAGACATGCCCTTGCTGATCCAATGGAAAACCAGACCATGAACTGTTTCTGAAGTTTATCCTCTCCTGTGTCATCCCATGTCTATGGGTTCAGTTCCTTTCTGCCCTTACAATCTCACCCTGAAGGACAGAGCTATTCAGAGCAGTAACACCTCACGTGCTTTTGCTCCATTAGAGACACTCTGTGGGCCCTTGCATTCAGTGGGGTAAGGAGGTGGGAGAGGGGAGGATGAAAAAGGCAAGCTGCCATGTCAGAAAATGAATGTGGGAAGGAGATTTGATGGATGAGTAACATTTTGACGGGGTGAAAAGTAAGCACAGGTGAAGGCTGAATCAATTCAGAAAAACTTGGGAATCTCTTTTCAAGGTAAGACATAATAGCAGTTGTTTTCAACTTTATCATTGCTAGATCCTTACCAATTGTTCAAAAAGAAAGGTATCTTTCTCTCTGGTCTAGTTTTTTTTGTTACCTATGATTCCTGAAATAATATATTTCCACTGAAGAGGATGATAACATTGTATTTCTGTCCATTTGCTTTAAAGAGGATTAAGAAATCAGAAAAAATATACTAACCCACCTCCTGCCTCATGTCCTTTCCCCAGTCCATTTTCCAAAACAAGGCTAAGGTAAATCTTCGGCTAAGGTGAATCATCTCTTTGTGTTGTACTGCAAATGCTCCTGCTAACAGCATTTCCATCAAGGCAGATTTTCATGCAGATAAACTGAACAACTCAGAGTTTTCCCTGGGGACCATGTGAGCTGTGCCACAGTCGTACAGCCTCCCTGCGGGGTCACCTGCTTACCCCAAGACACTCGGCTGCTGGGCAGACAGAGCTGGGACTGGGACTCCCAGCACCCTCAGGACACCTGGTACCCCTAAGCCTCTCCAGAGAGACAGGCCTGCTGTGAGCCCTCACCTCTGCAGCTCCTGAGCAGCCTGCCAGGTGGCACTGACAGCATCGAGGGCCCCACTCATGAGCAGAGATCAGGGTCCAAGGGTTAAAGGACCTGGAGGCACCCTTGTCCCCAGTGGCTCAGGTGACAGGTTGTTAGATTTCATGTTGAGGTGTTATAGTGATCTGGCTCCCTCGGGATTCAGGCAGCTGGCTCTGGAGACAGGAGGAAAAGTGCTAATTTCTTGATGCTCTTACTCTTTAGTATTGGTAAATGGGAGTAGATTTTCCTTTGCAACTCAGAGTAAACACATGGACAGAAAACTGAAAACAATCACAAAGCCGGGAGAAGGCATAATATATGAACGGTGTCTCCAGTTTTTATGAGTAAAATAGCACTGCGAGAGAAAATATTTCCAATAAAATGGTCTCTTTTGATGGTTCTGCATTTTGGAAGACCAGAAAAATAATTTTAAATGATTCTTTGTAGGTAACTGTAAAGCAATCTTCCAGGTCTTACAGTTGTGCTTCTGATTTGACACCTCCTCATACTTAATTAAGCTTGTGTATAGGTTTACTTAGTGTCTAACATCCATTTATGAAGAAAGAGACAAGGATGTGATGCACAGCAGTGTGGAGCTCTCTGTGCATTTGATATATGGGTAGTGAACATGACCCATACTATATTCAAGGGCGTGAAAGAAAGGAAGAGTGAAAGGGTAATTCAGGCTTCCTGTATTGCATGTCTCTGTTGGGATGACATGTGGAGATATCTATTTCTCCATCTCAGTACTCCTTAACTTCTGAAAAAGCATCAGCCAGAATACCCATAGCTCCCCCATCAAGAACATTTTCACCCAAAGATTAAATTATGGACATGAAGTCATACAGGTAGAATTTGATTCACGTTAATCCAGAACCTAAGTATTAGAGCTTCACATGAAAGCAACCCTCCTGTAGGATTTGATGAAGTAAAAGTCTCAAATGTGAGTATTTAATCATGAGAAGTATGGCTTAGGTGGTACTTGCCCTTAGCTCTGGAGATACCGCCAGAAGTGATATTGTTACACTGATTGACTGCAGGATAAAGCCACCATCTGGAAGGAAGTTGCACCCTTGGATGGGTGGAGTCAATAGCAAACTCGGTTGAGATCCACTATCCACATGTCCACTACATGCTGGTTGTCCAGTTTGCAAATTGCACTGCATTGCTCACCAGTTTAAAATATTTCAGGGAATGTCCTTTATAGGTCTTTCTTTGGTTTCATCTAACATTTTGAATATTAATTGTTGCCCCAATAGATTCCTGTTTCTAGTATCAGCTGCAGCAAAGACTCTATGTCACTATTGTCAGTCTTCAGCACTGTAATTTCAAAAGGAGTTAACAGAGTACAGAGTTAATCAGTGACTTGTACCCTCATTCCTGAGTGAATGCCCTATCTGATTTGCTAATATGTTGCATAAAGTTTTTCTGCATTGTGGAAAGACAGCCTGTATCTGTTTGTTTGAAAAGAGTTCCACAGGGATAAAAACATGAGCAGAAATAGGG